GGACTGGGTGACCCACAGAAGTCCCTTCCAACCCCGACCATTCTGTGATTCTCTGATTCTGCAATGTCTGCGCTTATCCAGGATTCAGTGGAAGAACTGAATGAGCTTTTGTTTACAGTGTGAATGCAAATCTAAAATTATTTAGGCTTCCGTTTATTTCCAGTCTTGTTCAACTCCAAAGCTCTTTGCCTGAGATCGTCTATAAATATTTTCACTGTGGAAAAGAGAGTAGAAGTGCTTCAGCTTTAGAGAGGGACTGGTTAAATCTGGAACACACAAACAGAGAACTGGGACAAGACAAAATAGGGTAACGCCGTGTTCTTTGAAAGGAATATGTGCAGAAGTAGTTATGGATGACTGAAGCTAAAAAGAAAAAGCAGTCAAAATGAAGAGAAGTGATTTGAAAAGGTTTCACTTGGTGACTTACCAAACAACTGAATATTGGTTTGGTTTCTGTAAATTGGTAAAGTATTGCTCTTCTGAGTCAAAAGGAACTCGGTCTAGGATGTGAGAAAATACTTCATTTTCTGCAAATGCGCTTTTGCTATTAAACTCATGTTCATTTTTGTTTAGAAAGAAAAATATGCTCTGTATCATCATTCCAGATTAGATACATAATACAGATAAAAACATTCAGATCCTTCCACTTGCAAAAATCGTCTTGCAGAGTGTAGAAACTGCCTCCTGATTTCGTGCAGACGTGATCCCTCATTACTGTGATTGTAATTAGACATTCCAATGCATTTTTCATCTTTAGGGCACTTTACAAACACGAAGTAGCTCACGATCATTCCAGTCCTCTTCCCTAGATAAATAATATTATGAACTCTGTTGTAGAAAAGAGAAAAATCAAGAGAAGGGGTCGAGCATCACGTGGAGCTCTAAGGAGAAGTTAATGTAGGCACCAGGCTCTACCCCTCATGAGCATTTCTGTCTTCAGTCAGCTCACCGCACAGTCTCTGTTTGCCCAGGCATCTCCCCATTTGTTTTCTTTAGGACTCAGAGGCTCCTTTTCCCTCGCTCAGCCATACCAGTGTGGTTTCTGGCCTGTATTTTCTCTTCCTTTGCTCCCTTAACTTGGAGAGCATAAATCTCCATCCTTTCTCCCTGCAATCTCCCATAACTATTTTTCCTTTTGCAGCTCCTCGTCTCCTCCGCCATCAGGCCGCTGCTTTCCCCTCCCTCCCCTCGCCCTCTGCCAGGGCAAGCTTTCCGTCCATCCTTGGGTTTGTGCCCTCCGCTTGAAAACCAGCTCCTCATTTCCAGGAAGAAGCAGAGCGGTGGGACCCGAGCCACATCTTGCTTCTGTGGCGTTGGCATCTTCCATGTGGGAGAAGGCTTACTGAGTATTCAGCCTGGCTGGGCCCCAAATTGACGATTCCTAGGGAAAAAAAAAGATATGCTAGGTCCCAGTCTGGTGGCTGTGCCCTGCCTGAGTCCTCAGCCAGTGCTGGCAGCAGTCTCGGTCATGCTGACAGTCATGGAATCACGGAGTCATTAAGGTTGGAAAACACCTCGAAGATCGTCAAGTCCAACCATCAACTCGTGTTTTACTCTGGGTTTGAAGTCAGCATCTACGATAGGGATTTTCTTAAAAATCTTATTTTTTTCCAAGTTTTCCTGAAATATGAATAAATGTGATTTCAACTTGCAGATCAGAAGAGAAATAAAATTCACCCAACATTGATTGAAGACTTCAAGTGGTGGGATTTCATTTGTGTGTTTTTGGAGGTTTTTAGTTTTCGGGGGTTCTTGGGGGGTAAAAGATTTCTTATTTATGCAGTGCGTTAAAGTGGACAGGAGTGGCAGGTCTGTGCGGGATGGACGCAGGAATCGGATGTGAGCATGGAGTTTCCGCAGGAGCACCGTCCGCCTTGTCGGTCCCCAGCATCCAGCTCCCACCATCTTTGGAAGCTGTGGTGCTTCATCTCAGACTCCTCGTTCCTAAAGGCGGATGTTCCCCAAGGCGGATGTTCCCCAAAGGTGGATGTTCCCAAAGGTGGATGTTCCCAAAGGCGAATGTTCCCAAAGGGGGATGTTCCCAAAGGTGGATGTTCCCAAAGGCGAATGTTCCCCAAGGTGGATGTTCCCCAAAGGCGGATGTTCCCCAAAGGCGGATGTTCCCAAAGGTGGATGTTCCCAAAGGTGGATGTTCCCAAAGGGGGATGTTCCCAAAGGCGAATGTTCCCAAAGGTGGATGTTCCCCAAAGGCGGATGTTCCCCAAAGGCGGATGTTCCCAAAGGTGGATGTTCCCAAAGGTGGATGTTCCCCAAAGGTGGATGTTCCCAAAGGCGAATATTCCCAAAGGTGGATGTTCCCAAAGGTGGATGTTCCCCAAAGGTGGATGTTCCCAAAGGCAGATGGCCTCGGGGAGCGATGGGAAGACGTCTGTTCAGCCCTTTTCCTCAGCCCTCCTTCAGGGAGGCAGCTGCGGCCGTGTCAGTATTTCAGCGGGGTGAGGAACATGTGGCCTGGTGCTGAGAGGAGAATTAGGTGGTGTGGACAGGGGATTTAAATTTTAGAGGAAGAGTAACACAAACCAAATGGATTTATAACTCATTCCAGATCTTGTTTTTTTAATGAAGTGAGGCCAGTAGTGCCAGCCAAATTTCAGCAGCAGAGGCAGATCATCAAGTGTGATCTTAGATAGCCTGGTGTGCTAATTTGAGCATCTTTTTGGGTTTGAGAGGTTCTTTATATTTAAAAAAAAAATTGAAAATATGCATTTAAAAACATTCTTGCTGCTCTTCATTAAGATTGTTGGCTTCTGAAGAGCTGAAGGATGTTGTTAGATTTCTTTGGGTCAGTGGAGACGGCTACTGAATTTCATGGTTGGAGAACAAGAGAGGAAAAAGACCCAATAGAAATATAATGAATATTTGTTCAAAGCAATATCTGCAAATTGCCTGTCCTGTCTAATGTCGATTATAGATATTAGAGGGGGAGAGAGAGGTGATCATGAACTATAATCAATCAGCAACATTTATCCAAAGTCCTGGGTCTCTTTGTGGGCGGGCCGTGTTTACACGTTGTTGGATGTCTGGTTGGGCTAGCGGGAATCGTTTTATTTCTGAAGCAATTTGATCATTTTACTTGATTTGCATTAAATAGAGACATGCGGGTGAACGCTGCCACAGCCGTTTGGCACATCCCATGCACAGTGTTTTCGGGCATGTGGCACAATGTGTTTTGTTGTGTTTTATGAAGATTTATTTTATTCCGATGTTGTTATTTAACCAAGGTATGTAATTCAAGTTTTTTGTTGTTGTTTTGTGATTTTTTTTCAACAGATGTGGGAAGAGGCCATTGCCTTGGGTAAAGAACTTGCAGAACAGTATGAAAATGAAATGTTTGATTATGAACAACTCAGTGAACTGCTGGTAGGTTTTTTTAATGACAGACACTGCAACAATTTTTTCAGAATTTAATTTCTAAGCTTTTAAAATTGTGTTGAAAATCTCTCTTATGACAGTAAAATGCAGAAATCAGTGCCCACTTTGGCTTTGTTAGACAAATGTTGATTAACTGGCTACCACTGGAGTGCCTGAAAAGGATGGAATCTTTTTTTTTTTTAGCTGAAAGAAAAATATTTCGCTAATGTTAAGCTGATTTATTTGGGGTATAAAAGGAAATTTGGAATTTGAATATAAATGGGACCATGAAAAAATCCCCATTCTCTCTCAAGTGTTTTTCCATATTCACGTTTCTTTTTTTAGGTATGAATAATCCCCAAGCATTCATGTCTAGAGTCAGTTATTTTTGCCCTGACGTTACCCATTCATTAGGCCTGCACCATTTTTTACTCCTGCTCTTCTCCAAAGAGATAAATGGCAGCTGTCACTGTCCCCCCGAACTTCTCAGCCGCTTTCACAGGAACTGGGATGTGATTCCAGTTGAGTTAGGAAAATTCTTGGCTTCCAGGGTTTTGATACATTTCACCTTTGCACTCACCAGAGTACACTGTCCTTAGTTTCTTTGAGTTGTGTATCTGCTTTATCCCAGCGGGTCTGAGCTGGGCACTAGTGCGGTGTCAGTGCACCCTCTTCCTCCGCTGAGGCCGATGCTCAGGTGGAGGATGTCTAGGAGCCATCTCTCCAGGAGCGTCCCCATGCCCATCTCCCCAGAATCTCCTTTCTTGGGGAGGAGAGAATAAAGGGAAATACCACTTCTCTCAATTTTATGGTTCAAGGGGCAATGGGCACAAACTGAGGCACAGGAAGTTCCGTCTGAACATGAGGAAGAACTTCTTCCCTCTGAGGGTGACGGAGCACTGGAACAGGCTGCCCAGGGAGGTTGTGGAATCTCCTTCTCTGGAGATATTCAAACCCCGCCTGGACATCAGCAGGAGGGTTGGACTAGATGACCCACAGAGGTCCCTTCCAACCCCTACTATTCTGTGATTCTGTGATTCTGTTCCTTCACTCCCAGATGTGTTCTTCTTTGTTTTGTCCATGGTTCTGTCCTCCAGCTCTCTAGAGCTGGATTTATATCCCTTGTGAAGGTCCTGTTCCTGTGGCATTTTAACAGTTTTTTGCACCAGGCTGGTGGTATTCTTTTGCCTAACTGTTCTGGAGCCTGGTTTCCCGTAGCTTCGTACTGCAGGAGGTGAAGGATGCATACACAGCGCAGTTCTGAGGTCAGAAGAGCCTCCCTCGGCCGGCCGCCTGCGCCGCCGCCAGCCGGGCTGCGTTCGCTAGAGGGTCTTCTGCATTTTGCTACAGGAGGAGTCTGGTAGAAACTGGTGCTCAGCGAGGAATGATGCCCACGTGTCACCAGTGGGTAGCTCCTCTCCGAGTCCCTTATTTTTAATTTTCCATCTCCTTTGTGACTGCACGTGGGAACGTGAACAGCTTTTGGCACGGTGGCAGCCACTCTGCACGTACCACACCGTATCCGTTTTGGGAGCAGAAGTCTGAATTTGCACTTTGTACATCGTAGCTGATGGCCAAGAATACCGAGTTATGTATTTTTCCCCATTTCTCTTGCACAGTAAATACGTCGTTGTTTACATGAAGTGCCATGATTCCAGACAGTGGCATAAACCAGGGAGGGTTCATTTGCATATGGAAATGGAGTTTCTCCCAGTTCTGATCGAGGAGACGCAAAACTTCCACTTCTCAAGTCAAACAACTGAGTTCACATGCTCTTTATTTATCAGACAGGAGAAATTAAGAGAGAGGTCACAAAAATTCGTACCGACGTGTGTTGGGCATTCATCCCTAATATGGCAAAGATGGAAATTCATGCTGCCAGATGAGCCAGGTCTCGCAGACCCCGTCGGCCTTGCTCGTTGCTGCTGCTGAGTAGCATTAGCATGCGAGCTCTTCTGTTTTTTCCCCCACAATACAACTGAAAAGTTTTTTGTTTCTTTCTGTTCTCCCTGTTGTCTCTTTTTGTCCAAGCAGTATTAAATATTAGACTCTGAGACAATTCACGGCTGACAAAATAGTTTTGCTAGAGGTGAACTGAGAGATATACAGCAGATCTGGGTCTTTGTGGTCTTCTTACCATTTGCTGTTATCTGTCGTGTGGGAGCAGTAATAAACCTCCCCCCGAATCGGAATGCATGCTCTTCCAGAAAGTAATAGACTAAAAATAAGTTAATGAACAGATCGTCTGAAGCTGCACATGTGCTATTATTTCATCATTTGAGATAAAGAAGGATTCCACTTCAAAAACAGATGGCATCTGACATGTGCGTTTTTATTCCAAAAGTGATATTTTTCTGCAGTTCTGAACTGCGTGCTTTCCGTATGCAAATAAACAGTTGTAAATACGGAAAAGAAGTAGTAGAGAAATGTAACGAAACGTAACAGCCGAAAACTGTAAAGTCAGCGGCGGTGTCGCGACCAGGAGTGCAGGCTGCCTGTCGAATTCTTCACCTTCATCAAAGTTGAGATATGCTGGATATGGAGCAGTGAGGTTCACCAAGATGAGCGTAAAAACAACCGCTACAAAGTCTAGTATTTCAAAATACTAGCATATATCTGGTAGAAGGGTCAAGAAAAAGGGGCAAATGAAACATGTACATCTTTGGGTTAGAGATGTACATAAAAGAAATCCTGATTTTCAGTATAGGGAATCTCCTGAAAGTGGAGGTCATGAAAGTTTCTCCTGTTTATTTTGCAGAGAAAGCAAGCCCAGTTCTATGAAAACATCGTGAAGGTGATAAGACCAAAACCAGACTACTTTGCTGTTGGATACTACGGCCAGGGATTTCCGACATTCATAAGGGTGAGCGTCCGCCTTTTTCCACAGACACCAGCAAGGTTTCTTGCTTTGGAAGTTTCCCTTGGTTCTAGAGAAAGTACGTTGTTGTAAGTCAGTGTGTTATTTAAAATTTGTCTTAACATTGATGGCTGGGATTCAAACATTGGTTTTACTTTCCAGTTTCTGGTATGGAATAGTTGAATTTTAGTAGAGAAGCTTTTTCTTCCGACGTATCCAATACTTTGTACTTCTTCAGGGTGTCACTAGAAATGAAGATACACCCCCCAGTGCATAAATCAGGGTCATAACCAGCACCGTCTGAAGCGGTGACGGTTTTGCCGGACAGGTAGATAGAGATCGAGATGTATGAGTATGGTAGAGAAGCCTTTTGTATGTGACCGTGTTTTCATGTGGGTATCCTTTCCAGCATAGTCACTAAAATGAAGCTGAATATCAGAGATGTGTGTGATACCTTCAAAAGCAATCTTTTATCATCGATTTTCATGAGTCAGGCGTCAGTCTAAAACGTGTCTTTTGGTTGATGCCTGTAATGTAAGTCCTGTAGCATTGTGGATTTTTTCCAGTGATAGCAGGATTGTTACGGAGTTGACCTAGGGGCTGAAGAAGGGTGGGCATTTAACACATCTGAACTGTGTCGGGAGTCTCTGGGCTCTGGCACATGGCAGTCAGTGACATGGAAATAAGACGTTAGCTATTTAGCTGCGGTGCTGCTCGTATCTATCTGGAGAGCTGAGGATTTTCAGTTTGGACAGGGCATCTCTCCAACCCCCTGTGGAAGAGTTACAGTAGATTACGGCAGTTCAAGATACAGAAGAATAAAATTATTACTGTTATTCTCAGATTATTCTCTGAGTCCCGGAGTCTCAGAGAGATTTAGCCTAAGGCCAGGGGCTGGTAATAGGTTTCCTCCTGGAAATCTGTATTTAGGAGATGAGTTCCTGGTGGTGACTGAATTATTGCATGGTAACGCTCTCAGATTATGCCATAATAAATACCAAGAGCAAGCCCAGGTCTGTGCTGAAGCCCGGCTCACTGGATAAATCCAGTGAACACTGGCTAAACTGGTTTTCCTAGGTTACTTGTGGTCAGCTGGTCTTTCATGGTGTATTAAAAGTGCATGCAAAATATATTTTTGTGGTGCATTAAAAGTAAAGAAACAGACATACGGTGATTTCGGAAAAGAGTTGTCGTAGAATGACCATCCGTCATAGAAACCTTATGATCAGATATCCAGACAGAAACTTTAGAAGTATTGGGAGAAGGAGGGAAAGGCTTTCAGAAATCCCCAGGAATAAAACTCAGGTATTCTTTGGGAAAAGCCTCCTTTCCCACCAATGAACTAAAGCCCACGTGAAGAAATTGAAATTGTTGAGTCGTCCTGAGAAGCAGGGGATGCGTGTGGCTTTTCATGCACCCGGCGTACTTCTACCGTGTGTGCCTCCTGAGAAGAGCCACAAAGGATCAGTTCTTTCCAGCTGAGAGGAATTAAGCTGAGCCCAGGCGGTTCCTGCCAGGCCACGAGTGAATTTTGCAGCACCCACCGCGTGCAGGCCCTCAGGCAGAAGCAGGGAGATGAGCTCCGGTCTGTT